TTAAAAGGGCTCCCCCGATCTGCCGATCAGCTGTTTGTCGGCAGATCGGGGCAGTCTGGACGCGATGCGCTGACAAAGAAGCCTTTCTTCATCGGCACAGGTAAACCTGTTCCGATCTGGCTAATCTACATGCCTCCGTCGAAGGAGGCATGTAGTCTAGACACACCCATTAAGAGTAATTTGTAATCCTGAAGTCTGGTTACTAGTGTGCAAAACCCACATTCCTGGCTTATTCACATGTACATTTAGAATGGGGTTGTTCAGCAGTGCTCAGCATCTTAATACTCCCATAATTTCAGTGCTATACTTGAAAATTCCATCAGTAATCTTTAGGGCCAATTTTTTCTGCAGGGTGACTCATTGTTTTCAGTGGAGTTACACCAGCAAAGATTTTTTTAAAAAAATTTCTGTATTATTTTAGAAAGTTTCTATTCCCCAGTTTATTCTTTGGAAATGCAGCAGTGGTGCTTTTTATTTTCCTTTTATTGCAGTATGTATTTGAAGGTAAAACATGACCATTCATATTCATTTTTATTATGCATCTCACTTTTCAAAGGTATTTAGACATGACACAAGTTCTTCAATTGGGTGGTGTAAAAGAATCCATTCCCTATTCATATCCTCAGTTACAGCACAAGCATTTTACTGGCTGCCTTCGCAATTTCATCTTGGATACTCAGGTAAGAGAGGTTGTGTCATGATTTTTGCATTTGTAAAGATGTATCACTTTTGGATCTAGATATTTAGGAATTTTGTATGACACATGAAATTCGTACTCTGAAGATACAGGCATTCTTTTCACTCTGATTAGTAATGGACTGATCCCATAAGGGATTAAGCAGCTCCCTGAAGGATTGGCCTGATAGAACATCTCTTATTTTTAATGAGTTGCTTACATGTTTATTTTTTATCATTTTCTGAGCAATTTTTGTATATTCAGCAACAGGAATGTCCATGTATAAGGCATGGCATTTACACTGAGTAGCAAATAGAGAATTTAATGTTAAGGTGCCAGGATGATGAATCATTTCAAATAATGCTATATCATGGGGAAATAGTTGCCATTAGTAAGCTTGAGAAGGTTGTAACCTCCACAAATAATTGTGCTTATTTTGCTTAGCAATTCTGTCAAAAATGTAGAAGATAGATACATTGTTGCCATATACAAAGAAACTAGCAGATTTACCCAACTTTGTTTGGGTCCATAATTCAGGAAGTCTATCAAGAGCATTTTGGGATTTCATACCTATAAACTCTTATCATTTGCTATGTATTAACAAAAAAGGGCTATAATCAGTTTGGTTTCCAGTAACATTTTTTTCTTGTTTTCAAACCTTAAGCTTTGATTTAGCTGTGGGAAAACAGAGTACTACTCCAAATTTCTCCAAGTTATCTCTTTTCTATAAGGTTTATTGAGAAAGCAAGCCTATTCCCAGGGCCACATTATGACTTTCGTGGGCCCAAGGCACTTTTGCCTTCGTGGGCCCCTTCCTCCATAAAAAAAAAATATATATAAAAAATTATTTTTGATATAACTTTAAATACTTCAACATTTTATTTTTTTCTGTTTTAGGCAAAATTCAGTAGATTTTCGTGGGCCCTAAAAGTTCATTTTATTTCTTCTGAGTTTAAAAGAAATTAAAACATTTTCGTGGGCCCTAGGCACTGCTCCTACTGTGCCTAATGGATAAGTCGACCCTGCCTATTCCAGGTTCATCCTATTTTTCTGGCCCATCTTAGATCAATCTGTTCCACCATTCACTCAGTTATGTCAGTTTTGAAGACAGTACTTGCTTTGGTGATTTTGTCTCATTTTTGTTTGGTTTTATGAGAAGCAGTCCCATCCCAGGAACATCCCATTTTCCTGGCACAACCAAACCTTTCTGTTGCTTTAAGGATTCTTTGGCTGTCTCTATGGGTATGTCTACACTACCACCCTAGTTCGAACTAGGGTGGTTAATGTAGGCAACCGGAGTTGCAAATGAAGCCCGGGATTTGAATTTCCCGGGCTTCATTTGCATATTGCCAGGCGCCGCCATTTTTAAATGTCCGCTAGTTCGGACTCCGTGCCCACAGCTACACGCGGCACGAACTAGGTAGTTCGGATTAGGCTTCCTATTCCAAACTACCGTTACTCCTCGTGGAACGAGGAGCCTAATCCGAACTACCTAGTTCGTGCCACGTGTAGCCGCGGGCTGTGTGTGGTAGTCTTAGCTCTTACTATTTAGGAGTTCTTGATCAAATACACAGGCAAACTTTCTTTAAAATATATAGAAGATAGAACATACCATTTGTGGTTTTAATAACAGTAGGCATCTCTGAGCCCCTTCTGAGGGCAGCCATCTTACTGAAATGTATTGTTGTTTGTGTTTCTCTGGAAATGTGGGAGTCCCCTGGAAAACTGGAAAAGCCTGATTTCCAGTCTGCTATGATATTGGTTGAATAGTTAGAAGATGTTTCAGACATGTGCAGCTCCCGTTAAAGTAAACCAGAACTTGGGTTCATTTTCTATTAAATGTCAGATTAATTTCAGCTTGTATCAGACACAATAGAATGGCATTGGCTGTTTTTTTTTACAAGGGTAGTATAATAAACATAACAAGCTCTCTCTCATCTGAAAATAGATGTTTCTGGAGACAGAAACTGTGCTGTTGTTTATCTCCTTATACAAGCCTTCTATTGTTTATCCATCTCTCTTGCCAGGTAACATTCCCTAACTCCCCCATTCCCACTCAATGAATTTCTGAATGTTAATGAAATATATATAGACCTATGCCAGCTCTGTTTTGAATATTGGAGTTTTCTTTTACTGTCAGTGTGTGTTGCTTGAGCATATCTGACTACAAAGGATGACCCTTAATGTTTAATATTTAAAGGTCAAACATTTTTATTAAATACACTGGAAAATAGTGCCTGTGAAAACAAAACATGGCATCAGCTGTACAAAACAGAGCGATTAGATAAAGTTGTACAGTATAGATTAGTGTAAGAGTTGATCTACAGGATAAAGTTTAACTGCTTGTTAAAACAAAATCCCAATTTTCTATGATTTTTCTCTTCAAGGTATATGACCTCGAATCTCCTGCAGAGTCCCTGAATAGCTCCCCTGGTTGCACATTGACTGATGGGAGCTGTGAGAGCATGGGTGCCTCTTCCTGTGGCATTCATGGGAGATGTCTTGGCGAGTGGGCCTCATTCAGCTGTCACTGTTTGCCAGGTTACTATGGCCACAGATGTGACAAAGGTGAAGTCTTTTTCTTCCTCTGTTATGTTACTGATGGTGCAATTTACAGCACAGAATGCATACGCTGTACCCAGTTAATGACATTTCTAACAAGGCTTTGAACATATTGATCATCCAGGGTCGTCATCTACTTTTTTTGGTTGGGCATTTTTAGTCAATCCCATCCTTCATTTTAATTCCTTTGTGAAATATGTCATTCTCATCACCACATCATCTCTTTTACACTGAGGGTTCTGCGCTGAGTCATTGGGATGGGACAGAATCAGAATTCCTCCACTGGGTGTCATAAGCATTGTATTGCTTACACTGAAAGAATATTGTTTTCTAGAGCCAAGAGGGCTACGTTTTTGGTGCAGGAGAATCTGAGATTCATCCTTGCGGTCTCAACGTGCTTGAGCAGGGATCCCTATGCAGAAAACATGCTGTCTCCCTGGGGGAAGGAGCAGCATGAGAGACCTCCTGTTCTGAGCATTTTAAACAGCAGCATTAACAGGATCCAGGTAGAGATGTGCCTGGCCATACTCAGTGGAGGAAGCTACTATGTCTTTGAAAATGAAGGCAGGGGAATAGTTACTGGGAGAACAGAGGCAGAGTCTTGAAGGAGTTCCCTGAAAAGGCATTTTTATGTCAGCACCAGGGGCCATTTTACAGGGCTGTTTACACTAATTTGGTGATCTTTGTTATACTCACATTGCTCTTTTCCTGTGGAGGGCAATTTTTACAAGTTTTTCAATTTCTTAGTTGCCAAAGAATTCACCTTTGGGCCAGGGAGCCACATTCGGTATCTGCTTCCTGTTGCTGCACCTGCCCACAGGATGCTGTTAGAGGTAATGGTCAGGACACGACAGCCCAATGGTGTCATCATGAGCATGTCTTCCCGAGCCAAGGATGAACACATCACCCTGCAGGTCAGTCTTAGATAATCTCAGCATAGAATGAGCTCAGTTCTATCTCACATATAGCCAAGTGAAACATGGATAGGCTTAAACAATGAGGCGTCCTGTTTGGGTATAAGCTTTTGGTGGTAAAAAACACATTGTCAGATGGATGAGAGAATGCTTTTGTGCTGTATGGTCCCCTAGAAAGTAAAACAAAACTAGTCCCTGAAAATCTGTACTGTACAGTTCTAATCATTCATTCTAGTAAAGTGGATCTAATTCTCCACTATTTAAACTGACCATGCACCCAAGTCATTTTATGGGCTGCAGTGGAGTGACATCAGTGTAAGACAGAAACAAAGGGATGACCATACAGCAGCGTTTCTCAAACTGTGGGTTGCGATCCCCGAGGGGTTGTGAGCAACTTTGAGGGGGGACGCAGGACAGTCCATTTTGGGGGGTTTTTGGTACAGTCCGGTAAAAAAATTGAGAAAATACTGGACATATGCAATGTCTGGTATTTTCTAGTTTTTCGGCTGGGCACCCAACAGAAGGCTGGCAGGGGCGGGGGGAGTGGCTGGGAGGTGGGGCGCGATCAATGCTGAGAGCCTCTGTTTGGGTGTGATGCCTTGGGGAGGAGGGGCTGCCCTGTACGTGCTCCTGAGTGCTGGTCAAGTGTGTGATGGAGCCGCAGCTGAACTCACTCACACTTTGCCAGGACTGTGCGTGGGATGGACAGCACCTTGGGATCTGCATGTGCCTGGGTCAGTCCTGCTCCCCACTGACTGATTCGCGCTCCCCCTGACCCCATCCCAGATGGCCAGTTTTCCCCCACTTCTCTTCCCGATCTTCCCCAGCCAGCCCCAGTGCCCCAACAGCCATGCTTCTGGCCGCCAGTTCTCCCCTCCTCCTCCTGATGTCCCGTGGCCAGCCCCGCTGCACCCGCCCCCCAGCCCCCACCAGCCCTGCTTCCCGCTGGCCAGTTCCCCCGCCTGATCTCTCCCAGCCAACTCCCCCTTTACTCGTGGAACAGTGAGGGTGTGGGGGGACAAATTAATTTAGAATTTTAGGGGGTCGCGGTATTACAATGTTTGAGAAACTCTGCCATTCAGGATAAGAACAGTGGTCCATCTACTCCAGTGTCTAATCTGAGCACTGTCTGCCAGGGCTACATGCATGTGAGCCTTGGATGTCCCACTCCTCCAGTGAGACAAAATAACTCAGTCTCCACTATTCTTTGATGACCTGTCAGGAAAGATACCAGAAGCAGTTTTTGTGATGTTGGGCTCTGCACAGGGGCTACGTCTACACTGCCATGATTTTGCGCAAGAACACTTTTGCAGAAGTTCTTGTGCAAAAACTCTTCCAGAAGACAGCGTCTACACTGGCATGTGCTTTTGCGCAAGAGCATCCTTGCCAGTGTAGACGCTCTCTTGCGCAAAAAAGCTCTGATGGTCATTTTAACCATAGGTCTTTCTTACGCAAGAAATTCATGTTGCCTGTCTACACTGGCCTCTTGTGCAAGAACAGTTGCGCAAGAGGGCTTATTCCTGAGCGGGAGCATCATAGCTCTTGCGCAAGAAGCACTGATTTCATACATTAGAATGTCAGTGTTCTTGTGCAAGAACGTGCAGACAGTGTAGACAGGCAGAAAGTTTTGGCGCAAAAGCAGGTGCTTTTGTGCAAGCTCACACCAATGTAGATAAAGCCTGAGAGTGCCAGTTTCATGTCACATAGGGTAACTAACAGCCATAAATGGCAACTGATGGGTCACTGGTGAATTGGGCTGGTTTGACTGGCAACATAAATGCGACAGCATCGAATTCTGAACTCCCTGAGCTATCCATTGTCTTTGTCTAAATGTAAGTAAATCTTTTTGTCAAGAGTGTTCATTAATTAAAAGAAATTTGGTTGAAGTAACCTGACAGATCAATTACAGGATAGAATGTGATTGTCTTCCCTAATACTTTGTTAATATTTCACAAGGTTGTACAGGGATTTTTAACGGTCTCATATAACTTGGGTGATGGAGACTATGACGTAAATCTTCCCTCCTACAATATTGATAATGGTGAATGGCATCATATCACCCTGGAGAGGATTGGAAATGAATTTACCCTTCGCCTTTATGAAGGAGGTGG